GGCCGTAAAGATAAAAGGGCTACATGCCTCCCTCACAATTTTCCGAAGGAAATTCCTTGTGGGCCTCAAGATCTTTGCCCTATTCAGGATCATGCCAAGAATTAAAAAACAAAACAAAACAACACCAACAAAAAAAAATACCTTTTTTTTTTTTTTTTTTGAGACAGTCTTGCTCTGTTGCCAGGTGTCATGCTAGAGTGCAGTGGCACAATCTCGGCTCACTGCAACCTCCACCTCCTGGGTTCAAGCAATTCTCATGCCTCAGCCTCCCGAGTAGCTGGGACTACAGGCGTGCGCCACCACGCCCAGCTAATTTTTGTATTTTTTAGTAGACAGGGGGGTTCACCATGTTGGCCAGGATGTTTTCGATCTCTTGACCTCGTAATCTACCCGCTCCGGCCTCCCAAAGTCCTGAGATTACAGGCGTGAGCCACTGCACCCAGCCAAAAAAAAAACCTTTACTCTGAAACAGTTCTGTTGACTTTCACCCTGGCAGTGTAAACTGATAGCTGATTTTAATAGGTGCAGCACAGAAAGTCATTCCTCTGCTCACCTGAAATGCTTGTCTAATTGCTTCCTCAGCCCTACTGTTTATGTAAAAATGCAGACTCACTGAGCCAGACTAGATTGTGTATTCGCTGAAAGGCTGATAAAGGACTCAAAAGATTGCAACCTGGCTGGGCACAGTGGCTCATGCCTGTAATCCCAGCACTTTGGGAGGCCAAGGCAGGCAGATCACGAGGTCAGGTGTTCGAGACCAGCCTGACCAACATGATGAAACCCCATATCTACTAAAAATATAAAAATTAGCCAGGCATGGTGGCATGTGCCTGTAATCCCAGCTACTCAGGAGGCTGAGGCAGGAGAATCGCTTGAATCTGGGAGGTGGAGGTTGCAGCGAGCCAAGATGGCTCTACTGCGTGCCAGTCTGGGCGACAGAGAGAGATGCCATCTCCAAAAAAAAAAAAAAAAAAGTAATGCAGTAGATTGCCTCTCATCTACCTATCTTGGAGTTGTCCTGCCTTACTGGATGGAACCAAAGTATATCTTACATATATTAATCGATGTCTCATGTCTCCCTAAAATCTATAAAACCAAGCTGTACCTCAACCACCTTGGCACATGTCGCCAGGACCTCCTTGGCAAAATAAACTTTTAAATTTGTTGAGACTTGTTTCAGATATTTTGGGTTTACTGCCACCACCAAAGGCTCTTGAGTTCACATCTCCTCTGTTGAAGAGAGTGGGGGATGGGAGGGGGGAAGATATGGAATCAATTACTGCTCAATTCCACATCCCCACGTGAAGGTGTAACCACCTAAAGGGCTCACCTTGCCTACTGCCTAGTCAGAGCTGATTTATCAAGACAGTGGAATTGCAATGAAGAGTAATTAACACAGAGCCAGCCATGCGGGAGACTAGAGTTTAATTATTCCTCAAATCAGTCTCCCTGAGCTGGTTTCTTTTGCTGTTGCTGTGTTTGAGATGGAGTCTCTCTCTGTCACCCAGGCTGAAATGTAGTGGCACGATCAGCTCACTGCAACCTCTGCCTCTGGGATTCAGGTGATTCTCCTCCCTCAGGCTCCTGAGTAGCTGGGATTACAAGCACCCGCTACTATGCCCGGCTAATTTTTTGTATTTCTAGTAGTGACGGGTTTTGCCATGTTGACTATGCTGGTCTCAAACTCCTGAACTCAAGTGATCTACCCCGCTTGCTCTCCCAAAGTCCTGGGATTACAGTTGTGAGCCACCGCGCCTAGCCTGTAGATGGAAGTTTTTAAAGATAATTTGGCCAGTAGGGGCTTGGGAAGTGGGGAGTGCTGATTGGTCAGGATGGAGATGGAATCATAGTGGGGTTCGAATGAAGTGTTCTTGCTGTCTTCTGTTACTGAGTGGGATTGCAAAGCTGGCTGAGCCAGATGACTGGTCTGGGTGCTGTCAACTGATCCATCCAGTACAGGGTCTGCAAAATATAACAAGCACTGATCTTAGGTTTTACAACAGTGATGTGATCCCCAGGAGCAATTTGGGAAGGCTAAGACTCTTGCAGCCAGAGACCGTGTGACCCTAAACCAAAATTTCTAATCTTGTAGCTAATTTATTAGTGCTACAAAGGCGGACAGGTCTCTTTTCAGGAAAGGGTTATTATCAGTTTTGTTTCAGAGTCAAACCACAAACTAAATTCCTTCCCAAGGTGGGTTTGGCCTGTTCCCAGAAAGGGACAAGGATAGGTTAAAGGTTAGAAGCAAGATGGAGTCAGTTAAGTCTGACCTCTTTCACTGTCATAATCTCCCCAGTTATAGTTTTTGCAAAGGTGGTTTCAAGGAGACTCCTTAGCCAGCTTCAGTCAGGGTGCTGATTCACTCTGTATAACTGAGGCCCAGGAGTGGGGTTAGGTTCCTAAAACAGACTGTGACCAGGGTTGCCATGTTGAGCTGGGGAGGAGGCAGAGGTCTCTAACATGGGGGCCCTGTCTTGTGCTGGAGAGATATCGCAGTGAGTAGATACCCCCTACCCAGACCCTCCCCAACCTCCTGAAGGGACAGAGGAGCCTCGTAGTTCAGCTGTTTTGAGGCCATCCTCTGAGCAGAAGAGCTGGCATGCTCTCGAGATGTTCCAGCTGGGCATGGGGGCTGAGACCCCAACACCTTCCTGCTTGGCCCAACCCTGGCTCCATCTGGACCGCCCCCATCCCCACACAGCCTCAGGAGCAAAGCCAGTGCCCACAAATCCCGAAAAGGCTTTGCTGGTTTGCACCTGGTGGGGAAATGACACGTTGAGCGCCTACTCTGTGCCTCTCAATAACCTTCTGAGGTTATCTCAAAAACCTCCCCTTTTAAAAATGACACCGAGGGACAGGGAAGTTACGGTCTGTCCAAGTTCATGTAGTCTGTAGAGGCCAATGCTGGGAGGACAGCTGAGGTCTGCCTAACCCCCAAGGGCCACACACCCACATCACCCCGTCCTGGTCTTCATGCAGAATAGCCAGGGAGGGGTCTGTGAGTCAGGAAGAAATCCTCTTCCACAGACCTGCCTCAGCCAGCTGACCCCCACAGCAGGTGGATGCCGTATGCTGGGCCGGGAACAGCATTTGTTCCACAAGGGAGGCAACCACTCCCTGTGTGGTCCTGGGAGTACTCAGACCTCTCAAAGGCCCCTCATGCTGCCTGCATCTCCAAATGCTAGAGCAACCTGGGCCCCAGGTGGGAGCAGCTCCCTCCTAAGGCTAGTCCTGGGGGCCCAGATCCTGGCCATCCCCTAGAATAAACAGAGTCCAAGGCTGGGGCAGAAGGGGAAGAGGAAGGAGGAGGAGCCACTGCCATGTGGCGGGGACCAGGCACTTCCAACCAGGACCACCTGCTTGCTTCAAGGGATGTGTTGCATGACATGATGAAAGTAAAACATCGGGCACGCTGCTGATGCTTGTAGAAAAGCTCTTGACTTCCCAATTTCTTCTTCAAAAAATGTATTTTTTTAAATATATATTATTTATTTATTTATTTTTGAGACAGGGTCTGGCTCTCTCTTCCAGGCTGGAGTGCAGTGGCGTGATCTCAACTCACTGCAAACCTCCACCTCCTGGGTTCAAGCCATCCTCAGTCTCCCAAGTAGCCGGGATCACAGGCACGCGACACCACGCCCGGCTAATTTTTGTGTTTTTAGTAGAAGTGGGGTTTCCCTATGTTGCCCAGGCTGGTCTTGAACTCCTGGCCTTAAGCAATCTTTCCGCTTCACGGGGGCAATAATGATCATTATCAATCTAGCCAGGGCAGGCCCCAGCCAAATTTCCTTTAAGGGTTCCCTTCTGAACATCCTGTTCTCATTTAGACTTGGGAGGCAGGACTCAGCACCTGGCTTTTTTTTCCATAGGCGGAGGTGATGGGCTGGTGAGGCTGAAGAGAAAGAGCCTCGGCCAGAACTCCAAACTCCTAAGCTGACCCAGCTCCAGTCCCTCAGCCTTCCCGGCTGAGGTTTACGGCACAAAACCAGCGATTGTGGATTCTGGCATGCATTTGGTGATTTTTTTTCCTGCTTCATATCCTAATACACAGGCGATTTTCCGAGGTTGGAAAATGCGTCCTTCCCTTTCCCTCAGTTTGTGGCTTAGACGGCCACGTCCAAGTTACTCTCTTTTATCAGGATAAATCCCTAAGAAACAGTTTCACTGTGAAGTACTCAAATGCAAGGCTTCTGGGAGCCCCTCCGGTCCAGGGCCCACGCCCCCAGAAGGGAAGCCTTCTGTCCCAGGCTGGAGACAGGCCAGGCTCTCTGAAACGGCACGAATGGGGCGACCCGGGCGCTCTGGTCCCGTGGAGCCTCTCCGGCCCAGGTCCCCACCTGTAAAACCCGGAGGGTGCACTCAGACCTTAGGCAGGCATTCAGCGCCCTGCCAACTTTAATTCCTGAAATGCTTAGTGAGAGAAACTAAAACACTTACAGGGAGCGAAAAATCCCGACAGAATGGCCCATCCCCCTGCGGGCTGTTTGCCTCTCTGCCCACCCTATCCGTGGGAAAGCGGGGCTGCCAGGGCGGCTACCGGCAGCATCTAAATTCTCAGATCGCAGGAACGCGGAAAAGCAAAGCAGCGGCCCGCGGAGCCGGCAGGCCAGGGTGGGGCTGCAGCCCGGGGGCGGGGCGCGGTTTGTCAGGGGGCGGGGCTCGGAGGGGCGGGGCGGGGCACGGTTGGTCAGGGGGCGGGGCGATGAGGGGCGAGGCACGGCACGGTTGGCTAGGGGGCGGGGCTCGGAGGGGCGGGGCGGGGCTTGGTTGGTCAGGGGGCAGAGCGAGGAGGGGCGGGGCGGGGTAGGTTGGCCGGGGGACTGGGCGAGGGGAAGTCAACCGGAAGGGGCGAGCCCGGACCGGTGGGGAGAGGCGGCCCAGGGGGCGGGGTGAGTCCAGGGGAGGGTCGGAACGAGGCGGGCCGGGAGGTGAGGGAAGCCGGGGCCGAAGCGAGGCGGTTCCTGGGCACGGCGGGACTGGGCGGGCCTGGCCGGGCGGGCCTGGCCGGGCGGTCCCTGGCGGGTCCCGGGAAGGCGGAAGGCTTAGGCGGAGCCGCGCCGCCGGACTGAGCGGTGGCTTCCCGCTCTGGCGACCCGTGCCCGCGCCCGGCGCGATGGAGGCGGCGCTGCTGGGGCTGTGCAGCTGGAGCACGCTGGGCGTGTGCGCCGCGCTGAAGCTGCCGCAGATCTCCGCGGTGCTGGCGGCGCGCGGCGCGCGGCGCGCGGGGCCTCAGTCTCCAGAGTTTGCTTCTGGAGCTGGCGGGGTAAGGCCCGGGGCGGCCGAGGCTGCCTCCTTCCCCCTCGCGCAGCCGCCTGCTGGGAGCCCGGGAGCGCCTCGGCTCGAAGCAGGGCGCGGACGCGCGGGCGTCGCAACCGGGCGGCGGAGGGTGAACCGGGGAGCCTGGGCTCGGGGTGCGCCTTCCAGGCCGCCCGCGTGCATCGTTTCTCACCAAGACCCGCGTGGCACGGATTGACTGCGCAGGCCGGTTTTACAGAGGAGGAAACAGACCCAGCGGAGGCCGCCCTCCGTCCTCTAGTGACAAAAGCTGCCGGCCCTGGGCGAGGCCATTTGCACCTCGAGGCTGTCATATTTATTGTCCCTAAACTCACCACGCTTCGTCAACCTCTTTCTCGGACCTCGGTTTCCTCACCTGTGAAATAAGGGGTTGAACTCAGAATGGATGAATCTTCTCTCCCGGTGGTTGGTGTTGTAGTGAAGCGAGCATAGAAAGTCAACACCAAGACAAAAGTATGCCAAATTGCAGGGTCTTTATTGCCAGCGGCCACGGAGGACTCGGTCTCTCCTACCCGGGGCCCCGAAAGGAGGGTGTCAAGACCTTTTATACCCCTTAAACCACCTCGGGAGTGAGGGTGAAGATCGGGGATGGGGATGAGGGGCTTCAGACATTCCGAGGGCTAGTGGATTCTGTAAATCACCTCCGGGGCGGAGATGAGGGTGGGGGGCTCCGGACATTCCGAGGGCCAGGGGACTTTTGTCACTCCGATTGTTACTTAACTGGTTTACAGAAGTCAGGGTAAGCGTTAGTTTACAGATTGGGTAGTGGTGGGAATTACAGACCTTAGTTACTTGTTACAAGTCGCAGGAGCCAAGATGGCATGGATTCGGACTGCTTGCCTGTCACATGAGGGTCACAAAGAACAGTTCCAACAGAGAGCCGAGGTATGGTTCAGTTAGGCAGTTTTACGGGGCTTTTACCATGTCACAGTTGGTGGGGAATCTTCCTGGTTATTTGGTGAGATTCCTTGGGAGCGGGTCTTAAGACAACTGCATTTCTTGTAGAAAGACCTTTCCTTACTCATCTATAAGGGTGTCGCAGAGTCCCTGCAGCTGGGAATGGGTGATGGAGAGAGGTCAGGAAGTCCTTGATTCTCAGGCAGCTTCTAAGGCCTTCCTATTCAGAGTATTCCACAAGTGAGAGCACCAGACTTTTGGGGTATCATTTTCTGAGCCCCAACAATAGGAAAACACATACCTGAGACTAGTGGTCTTGCCCCTTCCCCCTGGCCACGCCTGGCCCTCAACTTTGCTCCCCACCATTACTCAGCGGGTCCAAAGGCTGGTCCTCCACGCACAAGCCTTCCTGGAGCGGGGGTGGTTGGGGGGGGGGTGTCCCAGGATACAGGATGGGAAGAAGCCAAGTGGTGCCGCGGAGAAAGAGAAGACCTCAGAGGTGGGAGGGTGAGGGGTCCCACCCAAGCTCTGGAGGCCACGCGGGCCCTATGGAGCTGGTCCCTGGGCACAGTCATCCAGTGCAGGGTCTTCAGGGGAAACTTTTGGGAAAGGCTTGCAGCGCAAGGGGCTGTGTGACACCTCCCAGGCTTGTGAGTAACTTTACCCTTCAGGAAGAGGGTAGAGGGGGTGTCCCAGGCTGGATGGCAGGGTTCAGAGGCACCCAGGGGATGGGGGCAGTATGTGTTTCAAGTTGGTGCCACCACCAGGCTGGGAGCAGAGGGGCTGGAGGGATGAGGTTGTGGCAAAGGACACAGACTGGAAGTGGCCTCTATGACCGCTCAGGTGGGAGAGGGGTCAAGGGCATGAAAGCCAGGAGTGGGATTCGGCCTCAGCCCCTTGCTAGGCCCCTGAGCTGGGGAAGCTGAAGCTGGACCCACGGAGGGAAAGAAGCCAGCCAACCTATAGAGTCCCTCCTGCCACCGGCTCCTGGGCCTGCTTTTCCACCACCTTTGCACCACTGCTTGAAAAATGCAAAGCCTCAGAGGGGACACGCAGGTGAGGAATCATATTAGATCTGTCAGCTGTCACCTCTCAGCTCGCCTTGGTGAAAGCCCAACCTCTGGCGGTGGATGGGTCTCCCTGGGCAGGGGAGCCCGAGGTGGGGGTGGGGCAGCGGCTCTCTGCCATCCCTCCTGGCCTGTCCGAGGGGCTTGCTGTTGATCACGAGCAGGAAAAGGGGGCTCTGTCAGGGCTGGCGCACCAGCTCTGCAGCCCTCAAGCCAGTGCCAGGCACACTTCTGTGAACGGGCTTGGCTGCGCAGGGCCAGCCTCAGTGCCCACGTCTCCCGGAAGGCCAGCTGGAAGGGATCAGGGCTCCACCCTTGCCGACGGCCAGTAGATTTGGTCTCCACACCACCAGCATGTGATTCTAATGAGGACATTGCCTGAGCATTCTTGGCGTGTTGACTCTGTGCATTTTATAAACTATCATGAATTATAGTTTCATTTAATCCTCACAGCAGCCTTCGGTTGTTTTTGTCTCCAGACAATGGGAGCCCGAGTTAGGGTGGTAAGGAGCCTGTGGCAGCAGCAGGCCGGGCAGCCCAGCAGGGTCCTGGCCCTCCAGTCTCCCTGCCTGCCTCCCTCATGCCCTTCCCAGCCTTGCCTGGGAGGCCTACCTGGGGCTGGGGTGGGTAAGCGGCTGGTCCCATTCCCCAGGGAACCAGGCCTGCCAGCCAAGCCCCGGGCCCCTGACCAGACAACGGCAGCCACCAGAGATAGAGCAAAGGAAGCCCAGGGCTGTCGCAGTCAGCTGCCTGGAGGGCACGGACCCTCTTGGGGCTCCATTTGAGCAAACTAAGCCCGGTTTTGAGAGCATTGAGTCCATTGGAGCTTTTTAATGTGGCCTGGTGTCAAGGGAGGAGCCTCTGCCCAGGGACCTGCCCCTGCCACCTAGGGGCAATTCTTATGGCTGGGCCTTCACCCTCCCCTGGTTCCCAACCTTGCCGCTTCTCAGCCTTGCTGGTGGCCTCCTGCCCTGCCTCCAGGGCTCTGCTGGGCTCTGCCTCCCTCTGCTGTCTGCAACCTGGAGTGTCCTGGAGGACAGGACCCATCAGACCTGCCCTGCCTGCAGCCTTCCATGGACGGTGGCCCTCCCCCAGCGGCCCCTTAGGCTGAAGGAGCCTCGGCCTCTGGGTAGGGTGCCTTTGGAGCCCACCGCTTGCTCCAGGTCGCTTGCTCCCCAGCCTGGGTGAGGTCTATTTTGTTTAGCCCTCTAGCACGTGTTGAGGGAGGAAACTCCAGTGGAGCAGATGGGAATGAAAACAAATGGGGCTGTGTCAGATGCCCAGCTAGCATGATTTTATTATGATGAGCATTTTAGCGATTACTTATTAATTAAAAGAAACTTTACGGCCGGGCGCGGTGGCTCAAGCCTGTAATCCCAGCACTTTGGGAGGCCGAGGCGGGTGGATCACGAGGTCAAGAGATCGAGACCATCCTGGTCAACATGGTGAAACCCCGTCTCTACTAAAAATACAAAAAATTAGCTGGGCATGGTGGCGCGTGCCTGTAATCCCAGCTACTCAGGAGGCTGAGGCAGGAGAATTGCCTGAACCCAGGAGGCGGAGGTTGCGGTGAGCCGAGATCGTGCCATTGCACTCCAGCCTGGGTAACAAGAGCGAAACTCCGTCTCAAAAAACAAAAAACAAAAAACAAAACAAAACAAAACAAAAAAAGAAACTTTAAAGGGCCAGGCATGGTGACTCATGCCTGTAATCCCAGCACTTTGGGATGTCGAGGCGGGCAGATTACCTGAGGTCAGGAGTTCAAGACCAGCCTGGCCAACATGGTGAAACCCCATCTCTACTAAAAATACAAAAATTAGCCAGGCATGGTGGCGCACACCTATAGTCTCAGCTACTCGGGAGGCTGAGGCAGGAGAATCAATTGAAGCTGGGAGGCAGAGGTTGCAGTGAGCTGAAATTACACCACTGCACTCCAGCCTGGGCAACAGAGCAAGACTCCATCTAAAAAAAATAAAAAATAAAAAACTAAAGACACTGCCCACACCTCCCCAGGCTGCAGGGGCCGCGGGGAGGTTGAGTCCCAGGGAAAGCAGGGCATAGAGGACAAAGCGTGCAGGGGCAGCGACAGCCGAGTCTAGGTCGGCGTTCGGAAGTCCAGCCCTTCATCTCATGCGTTCTTGGTATCTTTGGTCTCCATTTCCCCAAGTGGTCTGTGAGATGTGGAAGCCAGCATGGATGACCCCTGGAGGTGAGAACGGGCTCTGCCATTCCCATATTCTCACTCCTGGCCTGCGGACTGTGGCTGCATCCCAGGGGTCGGCGCACAGTTCAGTGGTGGAGACCCCCATAGCCTTTGTTCTAGCACATTCCTTCAGCACCCCACGGCTGGCTGTGGCCCCACAGAGGGGCTAGGATGCAGCCTCCCTCTCTGCTAGTCCCCCTGGGCTAACTCTCAAAGGGCAACAGAGGGCTGCTCAGGAGGCTGGCAGGAGGGGAGTCCCTGCAGCCCGGCTGGGCTGGGCAGAGGCGCTGCTTGTCTCTGAAGCTGGGAGGTGGCCCAGCTACAAAGCACCCGGAGGGTCTGTAGGCAGCCAGGGCTGGGAACACTGCTGAGTATGCTGGGAGCCTCCAGTTGAGGACCAGGCCTGTGAGAGGCCCTACTGCTCAAGGTGACACTGGGCCCTGGCCTCCCGTCCTAAGTCCTGTGACCTCCTCCAACTCTGCCCCCAGCTAAGTTGTACGTTGTCAGAAACAGGCCAGGGAGGCATAGCCTGTTTGTGAATGGGGCTTTTCCAGGTTCCTTCCCAGCTTAGCAGATCGGAGACCCCGGGGGCCCCCTCCTGTGCATTGAAGTCTCATGGTTCCGGCTCCCTTTCTTCCTTTCCTGAGTGCTCTGTACACACAGGTGAGAGGGAGGGTGTTGGGACAAGCAGGCAGGCCGAGGCGACTGCGGGGATTCTGGTCCTGAGGGAGGAGACAGCTGGGTGTGAGCCAGGGAGGCAGGAAGCTCTGCCTTTTCTTCTGAGAAGGTGGGACCCTCGGGACTTCCCAGCATCCACACAGAGCTGGAATCTTCTTAGAGAAATTGAGGGTGGTTCTTCATGGTTTTCCCCGCTGCGCTCTCAACAGGGCAGCTCTTCTGGAAGGCGACTGGAGCATCCACGTGCTGTTCTCTTTTTTTTTTTTTTTTTTTGAGACAGAGTTTTGCTCTTGTTACCCAGGCTGGAGTGCAATGGCGCGATCTCGGCTCACCGCAACCTCCGCCTCCTGGGTTCAGGCAATTCTCCTGCCTCAGCCTCCTGAGTAGCTGGGATTACAGGCACGCGCCACCATGCCCAGCTACTTTTTTATATTTTTAGTAGAGATGGGGTTTTACTATGTTGACCAGGATGGTCTCGATCTCTTGACCCCGTGATCCACCCGCCTCAGCCTCCCAAAGTGCTGGGATTACAGGCATGAGCCACCGCGCCTGGCCCAACTCTTAAAACACGGCGGCAGACTCCTGTCCAGGGATAGCTGCAGCCCCTTGGGTCCTTGCGCCTCTCAGCTTCTCAGGGTGGAGGGCAGATGTGTTCAGCAGCTGAGGGGCAGCGCCGGGGTCAGTGAGTGCCCAGCGTGGCAGGCAGACCAGCAAGCGTGGGCCTCGGAGGCCCAGTCTCATATTCCTGCTCAGGGATTTGCCTTCTGTAAAAATCCTTTGTACAAGACCATCTCAAGGCACTGCATAGAGACTGTGGCCCGGTGCCTGGTAAGTTCTGGATGCTCCAAAAATTCTATAGATGATTCAACTGAATTTCATCGATTTTGTTCTAAACCGCCTTCTTTGACACTGTGGAGTCCACACCACCACGGCGAGGATTCAGCAAACTGACCTGTGTTCTGGGTGCCTGCCAGGCCCCAACAGCTGCATTTTGGGGCAGCCGTGTAGACCTGTACCCTCCTCTCTCCAGGTTCCTGGTGTTTCTCCAGTACCAGTGTTACTATGGGTACCCACCACTGACCCACCTGGAGTACCCCATCCTCCTCGCGCAAGGTAACAGCCCTTCCCTGTCCGCCGGGCTGCCGCGGCTCTCCCCTGCCCCCCTCACTGGGAGCCTCTCTCTTTCTGGTGTCATCCTCCTGCTCTGTATCTTTCATTTTAATGGGAACGTGAAGCAGGCCGTGCCCTACGTCGCTGTGTATCCTTTCTGAATCTGAGCCAGAAGTGAGAATGGGGGTATTTGCAAATAGTATGTACTATCAAGTGGGCTCCTTTACCAGATGAATATTTTTTGATTAAACTAAAAAAAAAAAAGTCTCGAATGCAAATATGTCCACGCACACTAGAGCCCCTGCTGCCCCTCCAAGATCAGCATGCCCTGGGCAGTGCCAGCAGGCCGGGTGGAAGGCAGCCTGGGTCTCCCTGCCGGGCGTGCAGAATGCTAGAGTCCATCCCTGCCAAGAGCAGCGGTGTCCAGCTGCGTTAGTTCATCTGAGACATTTCTTCCTGCCCTGATAATGTCCCCCAAGGCTGGGAAGCAATAATGAGAGTGTTTGGTGCTTCTCAAGATGTTAGCTTAGAGGCTGAGCCTGGAGGTCTGAGCGGCTGTCAGTGGAAGCTGGGTCAGCTGACACGTGTGTCCACTCAGTGGCATTTCCTGGCTTCATTTCAGTTCTCTTTATTGTAAAGACTCACTAGTTGAACATCACACTCCTTAAAAAGCCAGGAGAAGTGTTTTTTTGTTTTTTCCAGATGGTCTTACTTTGTGGCCCAGGCTGGATTGCAGTGATGCCATTAAAGCTCACTGCAGCCTTGACCTCCTTGGTCAAGCTTGATTGCCTTGATCAAGCGATCCTCCTGCCTCAGCCTCCCGAGTAGCTTGGACCATCAGAGTGTGCCACCATGCCCCGTTAGTTTTAAACATTTTTTGTAGCTATGAGGTCTCACTATGTGACCCAGGCTGTAAGATGTTTTAACGGTTTTTTTTTTTTTTTTTTTTTTTGAGATGGAGTTTTGCTCTTGGCTGGAGTGCAGTGGCGTGATCTCAGTTCACCACAACCTCTGCCGCCTTGGGTTCAAGCGATTATCCTGCCTCAGCCTCCTGAGTAGCTGGGATTACTGGCGTGCACCACCGCACCCAGCTAATTTTTGTATTTTTAGTAGGGACGGGGTTTCTCCATGTTGGTCAGGCTGGTCTTGAACTCCCCACCTCAGGTGATCTTCCTGCCTAGGCCTCCCAAAGTGCTGGGATTGCAGGCATGAACCGCTGCTCCTGGCCCAACAAAACGTTTTGAATGGCAGAAGCTGTCAGCCTGTCCAGCCACATCCGTGAAATGGCCTGGCTGTTTCTTCCCATGCCTTCTTCAGAGTGGAGGACAGAGGGCAGAGCCAGGCCTGTGGCCCAAGTGACCTCAGTGTAGGCCATGAGAATGTGGGTGCGGTGTGAGGGGAACACCTGGGCTGGGGTCAGGCGGGACAGGTCCCCGCCACAGCAGGGGTGGCTTCAGCATATGCCACAAACTCTACGCTGCATGTCCCCCATCTGTGGCATGGGAACCTAATGCCTACATTTTAGGGCCGTTGTGAGAGCTAGAAGTACCAGGAACACAGTCAAGCTGAGGAAATGACAGGGTCACCGTGGTGATTTTACTAGAAGCAGGGCTCTGCAGCCTGTGTCTCTCGAGGGAGCTGGGTTCTGGTTGAGTCCTGACCCTCTGCTGTTTCCCCGAGTGGTAAGCTCTGCTGCCTCAGTTTCTCTCTGCAGAAAGAGGGATTGTGTAGCTATCCTACACCTCAATACTTTACCATCAGTGCCAGCTGGTTAAAGGTTTCGGTAAACAGTGCTTTGAAGATGGAAAGCATGATACGATTTACTTTTGAAATAAAATGCCACAGCTTTGTGCAAATGGCGAGACTGCAGATTAGAAAATGTGGGTGCTGGTGGCACCAGGAGATGAACACGTAGCTGGATGCTGATGGCGATTCTGTAATATCAGCAAGATGCTTCTAATCTCCCATTGGTTGTGATTTACAGAGAGCAAAAGAATAGGGTTGCCATATTAATGAATACTTTTAAATATAAGTGTGTCCCCAGTATTGCGTGGGATATACCTCTACTGAAAATTATTGGCCAGATGCAGTGGCTCATGCCTAGAATCCCGTGTGTTGGGTGGTTGAAATGGGAGGATCATTCGAGGCCAGGAGTTTGAGACGAGCGGGGGTAATGCAGTGGGATTCCTTTGTGCGCCAAAAAAAGGAAAGAAACTGAGCCAGGCATGGCGCCTCACACCTGCCATCCCAGCTACTCGCAAACAGTTGTTTTCCACCTGAAATTCAGATTTAACTGGGTGTCCTCTATTTTTTATTTGTGAAATCTGGCAACCCTACAAATACATTATCTGTAGGATCTCAGGGGCTTCTACTATTGGTCAAATTTTATAAAATGTATATTCACAATACACAGAATGAGGTGGGATAGAACAGAATTGGTTGGGGGAGGAATCACAAAAATTAGTTTTAAAAATTGTGTTAGTGGCTGGGCACGGTGGCTCACGCCTGTAATCCCAGCACTTTGGGAGGCCGAGGCAGGTGGATCATCGGAGGTCAGGAGTTCAAGACCAGCCTGACCAACATGGAGAAACCCCCTACTAAAAATACAAAAATCAGCTGGGCGTGGTGGCGCATACCTATAATCCCAGCCACTCAGAAGGCTGAGGCAGGAGAATTGCCTGAACCTAGGAGGTGGAGTTTGCAGTGAGCTGAGGTGGCACCATTGCACTCTAGCCTGGGCAATAAGAAAAAAAAAAATTAGAGTTAGTGTTTTAAAAACAGGATTCCATCCAGCTAGCTTCAAACTACCTTCTGGTGTTGAGCAGGCGGTGAGTATTCAGTTCCACCGAGGTTTAGCACAGGGCATTTTCTGTTTCAATATCTTTATTTAATTAATGTTTTAAATGATAACAACAGCAGTCTCTGTAGGCATTTGAGAGGTAGATAGGGTAAGGAATGTTGACTCCATTTTACAGATAAAAAAATCAAGGTGGAAAGATGGCAAGTGACTTGCCCAAGGACACTCCAGAGACTCCTGGCCGTCCCCGTCTGGCCCTGGCCGCTGTCTCCTGGCTGCTTGTTCAGCTTTCTAGCTGGGCTTTTTCTGTGACATCACAGAGCTCCGGGCACATCCTGACTCCTGATGTTGCCCACACCAGCTGTATCATCTTTACAACAGAGTTAGTGGGAAAAGTGGAAATCAGTAAACAGAAATTCACATCACACAAATTTTGCAGAACATTCCTGCTTTATAATGTTGGACTTCTCTTTTCATTTATTTATCTATTTATTTGAGATGAAGTTTCACTCTCGTTTCCCAGGCTGGAGTGCAATGGCATGATCTCGGCTCACCGCAACCTCCGCCTCCCAGGTTCAAGCGATTCTCCTGCCTCAGCCTTCCCAGTAGCTGGGATTACAGGTGCCCACCACTATGCCCGGCTAATTTTTGTATTTTTTTTTTTTTCTTTTTGAGGCGGAGTTTCGCTCTTGTTGCCCAGGCTGGAGTGCAATGGCGCGATCTTGGCTCACCGCAACCTCTGCCTCCTGGGTTCAGGCAATTCTCCTGCCTCAGCCTCCTGAGTAGCTGGGATTACAGGCACACGCCACCATGCCCAGCTAATTTTTTGTATTTTTAGTAGAGACGGGGTTTCACCTTGTTGACCAGGATGGTCTCGATCTCTTGACCTCGTGATCTACCCACCTCGGCCTCCCAAAGTGCTGGGATTACAGGCTTGAGCCGCCGCGCCCGGCCTAATTTTTGTATTTTTAGTAGAGACGGGGTTTCACCATGTTGGCCAGGTTGGTCTCGATTTCTTGACCTTGTTATCCACCTGCCTTGGCCTCCCAAAGTGCTGGGATTACAGGCGTGAATCACCGCACCTGGCCCAACCTCTTTTAAGTGCTTAGCTTTTAACTATAAATTGGAGATGTCCGCATGATCAGGAATTCAGTGGGCAGTGAAAACCACTAGGAATGTCCCAATCCTGGGAAGCAGTCCATGAGCATGCGTGTCTTGCTTTCCTTCTTCTGAACTCCTAGCAGGTGTTCACTTACAACTCTTTTTGTCCCTTCCAAATGTGGCAGGTTCTGGCGGTATGTCCCCAGCTCCCCTCTGGCTTCCATGTGTGGCTCCCTGTGGTCTTGGTTTGTGTCCCTGAGATGGGAGGGTGGCGGGGACGTGGGCCACCCACTGCTGTGTCCCTTAGCACTTGGTAAGATTGGGGTCTTCTTGGTTCGTCCTCGCCCTGCAGAAGTGGATCAGAGACCTGGCCATGGCAAGGATTGCGCTTGAAAAGAAAGGAGGGTTAATAAGCTACCTTGGAGAGAACTTGATAGATGAAAGGTTTAACCTGCTAATTTTTCAGCCGTGCTGGGGGATAATGGGAATGAAAGTGAAGTGCTGTCCAAATATTAAAAGACATTCTTCTTATTTAAATGAGGGACAAAACAATGTTTAATTTCCTTTTGTTGGGCCATAAGGAACCAGATTGGAGAGGTGGCTAACAGTTTATCTATTTATTTATTTATTATTTTATTTTATATTTTTTTGAGATGGAGTCTTGCTCTTGTTGCCCAGGCTGGAGTGCAATGGCGCAATCTCGGCTCCCTGCAACCTCCATGTCCTCAGTTCAATCAAGCAATTCTCCTGCCTCAGCCTGCTAAGTAGCTAGGATTACAGGCATGCACCACCACGCCTGGCTAATTTTGTATTTTTAGTAGAGACAGGGTTTCTCCATGTTGGTCAGGCTTGTCTCGAACTCCCAACTTCAGGTGATCCGCCCTACTCAGCCTCCCAAAGTGCTGTGATTACAGGTGTGAACCACTGCACCTGGCCTTATTTATTTATTTTTGAGACAGATTCTTGCTCCGTTGCCCAGGCTGGAGTGCAGTGGCACGATCTTGGCTCACTGCAGCCTCTGCCTCCTGTATTCAAGTGATTCCCCTGCCTCAGCCTCCTGAGTAGCTAGGATTACAGGCATGTGCCACCACCATGCCTGGCTAATTTTTGTATTTTTAGTAGAGATGGGGTTCGCCATGTTGGCCAGAATGGTCTCGAACTCCTGACCTCAGGTGATCCACCTGCCTGAGCCTCCCAAAGTGCTGGGATTCCAGGTGTGAGCCACAGCACCTGGCTGCTAACAGTTTTAAAATGAAGAATTAAACAAGAGCTTCTTCGGTTCTTAATTGCATGTTGGCCTTGTCCGGGAGAAGGGCTAATTATTTTTTCATACTTCAGCCGAAAATTTCCAAGGGGTTCTGAGGGTGGTTCAGGATGTGTTTAACCACAGACCTCTCCAAGGTGACAGAAGTGAACATTTCCACCCCACGAGAAAAGGAGGAGAACTAATTGGTGGTCACAGGGCTCTGCCTGCCACACCCAGACGCATGAATTTCTTTCCCTTTTCCCCCAGTATCTTGTCTGTGATCCTGTCTTGGAAAGTGGAGTAGATTCTCTGTTACACTTCAACCCTGAGATTTTGGAGAGCAAATAAGTAGGGTTGCCATACTAACAAGGAACACTTTTTCAGTACAAGTATGTCCAAAATATTGCATGGTGCCAGGCATGGTGGCTCACACACTTTGGGAGGCTGAACCAGGCAGATCATCTGAGGCCAGGAGTTCAAGACCAGCCTGGCCAACATGGTGAAACCCCATTCTCTACCAAAAGGAAATACAAAATTAGCTGGGCATGGTGGCGGGCGCCTGTAATCCCACCTACTTCGGAGGTTTGGGCAGGAGAATCGCTTGAACCCAGGAGGTGGAGGTTGCAGCGAGCCGAGATCACCCCACTGCACTCCAGCCTGGGTGACAGAGCAAGCCTCCATCTCAAACAACAAACAAACAAACAAACAAACAAAATATTGCATGGGACATACTTGTACTAAAACATTATTTGTTGTTTATGTGAAATTCAAATTTAACTAGGCATTCTGTATTTTTATTTGCCAAATCTCACAACCCTGTAAATGAGCCATCTCTATGTTCTCAGTAGCTGCTAACTTCTGAATGAGTTTGGGTGGCTCTAGTTTGGGGGTGATTAGCTGGGCTATAGCACCTGTGAGCCTTCATCCCTCAGGAGCCATCCTTCCAGCAATGTTGAGGTATAGGCTTGTCAAGGTGTGGGCACAGTGGCTCACACCTGTAATCCCAGCACTTTGGGAGGCCAAGGCAGTCAGATCATCTGAGTTCAGGAATTTGAGACCAGCCTGGCCAATATGGTGAGACCCTGTCTCTACTAAAAATACAAAAATTAGCCAGGTGCGGTGGCGCATGCCTGTAGTCCCAGCTACTTGGGAGGCTGAGGCAGGAAAACCACTTGAACCCGGAGGTGGAGGTTGCAGTGAGTCAAGATCGCACCGTTGCGCTCCAGCCTGGGTGACACAGTAAAACTATCTCAAAAACAAAACAAGAAAAAGAATGAAGTTCAGGGGTCAAAGGTAACAACAGCTGTTTGGTGTTTCTTCTGTGCCCTTGGCAGTAGTAGTCTATTCTAACCACACATTGATGATATATTATTTCATGAAGTATAATTTTGATTGTTTCCTTTATCATGCAAGTCTGAACACAGGCTCGGCTCTGTGTCTGCCCGTAGCCCTCCTTCACTGACTCAGTGAGTGTTCTTTGCACACCTGCTCTGAGGTGCCAGGGCCCGGGGCACAAGGTGGCCCAGATTGGAGGGGCACGGACCCCCAGTGCAGGAGAACGAGCCAGGCCTTCAGAGCTCACACATTGTAGCAAACCCCCAGAACCCTAGAGAGAGCAGGTGCTGCTTGAATCAGTGGAAATCCTCCATTGTAGAATGTTCCGTGTTTTTGCTTTCAAATGCAGGTACCCAAGATCATTTCCCCAGAAGACCCAAAGTGTGCTTTCATGGTTAAATTGATAATTCACATACTCATGGTTTATTCACAAAAAAAGCTTAAAGTACTTAAAAATGGTCTCCAGAACAGTGAAGCATCCCCTGTCTTTCCCAATCCTGTTCCTATAGTAGACTTTGTTTTACAGAAAATCCTAATCATTCCTGGTCTAAATGATGTGATAAGTCATTCCAGGGCTTAGTTAGGGCCCAAACCAACATGACTTCAGGACTGGAAATGTGGCTTTGCTCCTGAAAGATGACTCTGGTAGAAGATCTAGGAGGCAAGCTTGTGTGGAGCACAAGCGTGTTGTGATGTGGTCTGGGGCCCTGATGTGTGTGATGTGAACAAAGCCGGCTTCCCTCGCTCTCCCATCCCCACACCGACTCCCTGCTGCCCCACCAAGCCCGTGTCCTGGTGAGTTCTCTGGTGCGAGTCTTCCCCTGCAGTCCTTCCTTCTCTGCTCTACCCAGGTCTCCTGACTACACAAGAGCCTCTCCTCGCAGGTCTCCCTGCCAGGGGTGGGCCATCCTCCAAGCCATCTGCACCCTGCTCCCCAGGGTGACCTTCGTCCTGCCACGGGCCTGACCGCAGGTCCTTGGTCATCTCCTTTGCCCAGGAGCACTCCCTGCCGTTCCCTTCTCCATAATTCCCTCCTCCTTTTTTTTTTTTTATTTAGAGACAGTCTCACCCTGTTGCCCAGGCTGGAGTGCAGTGGTGTGATCTTAGCTGACTGCAACCTGTGTCTTCTGGGTTCAAATGATTCTTCTGCCTCAGCCTGCTGAATAGCTGGGGCCACAGGTGCATGCCACCATGCCTGGCTACTTTTTGTAATTTTTGTAGAGATGGGGCTTTACTATGTTGGCCAGGCTGGTCTCGAACTCCTGGCCTCAAGTGATCCTCCTGCCTTGGCCTCCCAAAGTGTTGGGATTACAGGCGTGAGCCACTGCGCCCAGCCTCAGTTACTTTTTATCAGGGATGTGGATAGATGAAGCTCTGTGGCCATGCATTGATTCTTTCTCATTCCCAACTTCAAACGAGCCCTAGATGTTAGTTACCCAATGCATGGTGGAATCCGTGAGTTATAAATAAATGTCTTAGGCTGGGCGTGGTAGCTCATGCCTGTAATCCCAGCACTTTAGGAGGCTGAGGCAGGTGGATCAGGAGGTCAGGAGTTTGAGACCAGCCTGGCCAACATAATGAAACCCTGTCTCTACAAAAAATACAAAAATTAGTTGGGCATGGCGGTGCATGCCTATAGTCCCAGCTACTCGGGAGGCTGAGATAGGAGAATTGCTTGAACCAGGGAGGCTGAGGTTGCAGTGAGCCGCGATCACGCCATTGCACTCCAGCATGGGTGACAGAGTGAGACTGTCTTTCAAAATAAATAAGTAAATAACTCACTATTTGTACAAACTTAGATTTCAATTTTGTATGAATCCATTATAATTTTGACCTGAAAATTTGGCTTCAAAAGCGTTTCGAGTATCTAGTGCTCTTTTGCTTGTTTAACACATAGATGTGACTTTCTCACATTTTATCTGTAAACAGAATTTCTGTACTTTCATCAGCGCGGCCAGTAAGTTTGCGCAGCTCCAGTGTCTGTGGAAGACGAGAGACTCGGGAGCGGTGAGTGCGCTGACTTGGAGCCTCTCCTCCTACACCTGTGCAATAAGACTTGGACTCTGACGCTGGGGAGGCCTCGGGTAGCACCACGTGTCTGCCTAGTAGGGTGTTAAGTTGGGGTTGAAGTGACGTGGTCCCTGGCGCTTATAGCTATTCAGCGAGAACCTCCTAAGTGTATCCATATTTACAAAGACAACTTAATGCACACTGCTCTCCATTTTCTATGAGATCTAAGTTGCCAAGAAAAGTGAAAGCATGTTTTTCTCCAAAAATCTGGCCTAATAGTAACAGTTCTCTCTTCTTTGAAATGCATCAAGAGGTTGTATATTGAATGTATTAGTTTATCTTAAAAATTTGAATCTTTATGATATAACAAGTTTTAAAAGGTGAAAATCATACAGTGACTTCTGAGAATGAATAGGATGTGTAGCAATGGAGATTTTTGGCACTCACATTGTTTGGTCTCAACTTTAGATTTTTCTGTGTTCATTTGGATTCTTACAAAAACTACCTAAAATACGTATATGGTATATGTAGGTAGAAACATTTTATAATTCAGAGTAGCTGGGATTATAGGCATACATCATGCCTGGCTAATTGGTGTATTTTTAGTAGAGATGGTTTTTCACCATGTTGGCCAAGCTGGTCTCGAACTCCTGACCTCAAGTGATCCACCTGCCTTGGCCTCCCAAAGTACTGGAATTATAGGTGTGAGCCACTGCGCCTAGCCAACTTTTTGTAGAGACGTGTTCTCACTATGTTGGCCAGGCTGGTCTCAAACTACTGGGCTCAGGTGTTCATCCCACCTCAGCCTCCCAAAGTGTTGGGATTGCAGGCGTGAGCCACAGCACCTGGCTCTGTATGTTTTCTTTGGAAAAATGTCTATTCAGATCCTTTGCTCATTTTTTTTTTTTTTTTTTGAGATGGAATCTCCCTCTGTCACTCAGGCTGTGGGACAGCGGGATGATCTTGGCTCACTACAACCTCTGCTTCCTGAGTTCAAGTGGTTCTTCTGCCTCAGCCTCCCTGAGCAGCTGGGACTACAGGCATGCATCACCATGCCTAGCTAACCTTTTTTTTTTTTTTGTATTTTTGATAGAGACAAGGCTTCACTGTGTTGACCAGGCTGGTCTTTAACTCTTGACCTCAGTTTTTTTTTTAGATGGAGTTTTGCTCTTCTGCCTAGCTGGAGTGCAGTGGTGCGATCTTGGCTCATTGCAACCCCTGCCTTCTAATTTCAAGTGGTTCGCCTGCCTCAGCCTCCCGAGTGGCTGGGATTACAGTCACCTGCCACCACGCACGGCTAATTTTTGTATTTTTTGTAGAGATGGGGTTTCACCGTGTTGTCCAGGCTGGTCTCCAACTCCTGACTTCTAGTGATCCACCCACCTCGGCCACCCAAAGTGCTAGGGTTACAGGTGTGAGCCACCATGCCTGGCCCTTTGCCCATCTTTTATTCAGATCATTTGTTTGAGCTTCTTACATGTTTTGGTCACTAACCCTTACCAGATATGTGGTATTAATAGCCTTTTAAAAAGTTTGCTTGAGAGTCCTTATTGGCCACTTTCCTAACTGAAGTCTTCTGTCTACTTATATGATCATTTTCTTCCATTTAAATGGATGATTTAATCAACAGCTATTTATATGGGGGTGTCTGTGTGTAAAGCCTTGGTTTATCAAATGTGTCAACAAAACATTTTATAGGATTTGGTCTCTGCCCTTCAGGGGCCTGCAGTTTGGTTGGAAGATCCACACCAAAAAACTACGATGTCAGTATGTGCTGAATGCAGAATGTGCTAGCAGAGAGAGAGGCTTTGAGTTGTGGGCAGTGGTCTTCTCTAACTCCCAAATCGTGCTGCTCTCTGCTTTGGTGTTTTGGTTTAAACTGTTACTCCAGTTTCCAAAGTGAAGGGCTATACCACACCAGTGAACTAAACAAAATAGTTCTAGTTAGACCCTTGGAAAAATTTTCCCCTTTTCTGGCCCTCAGTTTCCTTGTCTATAAAACGCAAGGATAGAATTCACTGACTTGAAAACAGTTTTTCATTAGCGGGAGCCTTTCTTTAAAACTACCCAGACGCTCCATTTGTAAATAAGAATTGTTAGGCTTGCTTTTGGAGGGTGGGGGGTTGCGGGTTAGCACAGACACAGTGGAAGGGAGCTCAGCCTTTCTGGGTTTCCCCGGGCAGCGCTCGTGCACTGTCAAAGTACCTTCCCTTAAGAGTAGTTTTAAAACCATGGGGATGGGACGCATGGCTGTTTGTTTTGTTTTGAGATGGAGTCTGGCTCTGTCACCCAGGCTGGAGTGCACTGGTATAAACTCACCTCACTATAACCTCCCAAGTAGCTGGGATTACAGGTGCCTGCCACTACACATAGCTAATTTTTGTATTTTTAGTGGATACAGGGTTTTACCATGTTGGCCAGGCTGGTCTCACACTCCTGACCTCAGGTCATCTGGCATTTCTGGGTTTTATATAGTTATGAAATACAGCACTATTTGGTTTTCTGTACTACCAAACTTTTATCAAGAATAGTTAATATGTATTGGTTAAAAAAAAAGAATAAAAATAATTAGAAAATAATAGTCTATATATATTGGGATACTAAAAGGGAAGGACATTATTAACTAAACCCCAAAATGTCTGAGGCAAGTTATTTATGCTGCAAATTTTCTTTTACAGCAAGAATAATCACAACCTTAATGACCACCAATGATTTTACAAGTAAGCAAAAGATCTTCTCAGTTCCTTTTTGAGTTTTGTGGTACTTACGCCTCCTTCATTAGTAAGCTGGATTTAGAAGATGGCAACAATGTATTTCTAGTCTTACTGGTCACCATTTTTATTATTAAGCTCTCTTATAGTACAGGGAATAGAATATGCACAAGATAATAGATTGCCGTCTCCATGAAGCTTCCATTTAAGCAGTGGAATTGGACATGAGGTAATCACACAATTCCCTATTCAATTATCAGGGGCCATGTTTTGAAGGAGTAGGGCAGGATGAGCAGCTAAGGAGAACCTGCCCTACTTTGAGGGAGCTGGGCAGATTAATTTGAAGAGCGATCGTAAGGATGAGAAGAGGTTTAGCCAGAAAAAAGGTTGTGGGGGACAGGGAGGCAGGGGAGGCCAGATTCTTACAAGGAGCAGTGTGTGTGAAGGTCATGAGCAAAGGACAAAGCGCTAGAGTGTGGACAGCAGGGGGACAGCGACAAGCGCGTAAGTTTCAGGAGAGGAAGGAGGTGTGAGGCTGGCAGCGGCCCAGGTATCCAGGGCTTACAAGAACTGCCTACAAACAGCAGGAAGCCTCCGGAGGCTTTGAAGCAGGGAAGTGGTGTCACCAAATGGACTATGCTCTTGTTCTGTTTCTTTAAAAGGAAAAGCTGTGATGGAAGAGGAAATACTTTGATTAACCACAAAGAATTTAGTAATTCCTTAGGCTGTTTTCAACCCCCGAATCAAGCATATATGATACATCTTAATGATTAGGACAGATGGTGTGACCTGTGAAGATCAGAAAATGTCCCCAACACATAGACCTTTTAAATGAGCTAATTATTATTTGAGAAATACTGCTTCAGAACAGAGATATGTTTGTCATCTCTTCCTGGAGGTTATACCTTTGTTCAAATACTTTTTGTCAGCTCTGATGGTAGGACTAAAATTGTTCTGGTCAGAGCAAAAACTTTGATCGAGTGGGAAATGGGAAGGAAGACAGGCGTGGGTCTTTCCACAGGGCTTGAATTAGCGTGGAAAGGCGAGTCAAACTGCAAGTAAACAACAAAACCTATACATTAGAAATTAAGTTTAAAAGATCAAGAGTGTTCTAATTCCGATTTATTTCTTACCTATGACAGCTGTTCTTGAAAGTGATCTGTATATCTGGGATAACCTTTTTGTTTTTTTGAGATGGAATCTCGCTGTCAGCCAGGCTGGAGTGCAGTGGTGTGATCTCGGCTCACTGCAACCTCTGCCTCCTGGGTTCAAGCGATTCTTTTGCCTCGTCTCCAGAGTAGCTGGGACTACAGGCATGCACTACTATGCCTGGCTAATTTTTTTATTTTTAGCAGAAACGGGGTTTCACCACGTTGGCCAGACTGGTCTCGAACTCCTGACCGCCTTGGCCTCCCAAAGTGCTGTGATTACAGGTGTCAGCCACTGCATGGGTCAAGGAATAACTTTTTAAGAACAGTTTAGCTAAAATCTTACCTGTGTTTTGCAAACACAAAGATATATTTTAAATCGCATTAAACCTTATTTATCAGGAGTGTATCTGTACCTTAAAGTGGACGTTAAGTCACTGTTAAAGTTATATGTGTGTGTGTGTATATATATATATATATATATAATTTTTCCACAAAGAGACACATTTTCATGGTTACTTCAATATAAAGTATGCCTTGTAATTTGGGCCAATTTTTTCAGAATTATCTTAACAGAATATATTAAACCACCTTTGCTTAACATGGAATGTTCTGAGACACTAGTACCTCAGGACTTCAAATGAGTAAAGGGATTTTTAAAAGTTAGAACCCTTCATAGGCTGGATGCAGTGGCTCATGTCTGTAATCCCAGCACTTTGGGAGGCCAAGATGGGTGGATCACTTGAGATCAGGAGTTTGAGACTAGTCTGGCCAACATGGTGAAACCCCATCTCTACCGAAAATACAAAAATTAGCCAGGCATGGTGATGGGTGCCTGTAATTCCAGCTGCCTGGGAGGCTGAGACAGGAGACTTGCTTGAGCCCAGGAGGTAGAGGTTGCAGTGAGCTGAGGTCGCACCACCGCACTACAGTCTGGGTGACAGAGTGACAGAGCAAGACTCTCTCTCTCCCCCCTAAAAAAGTCATAACCCTTCAATTGAGCACTCAAGAGGATAAATTATGATTTATGATGTCGGGGCAAGTGGCCAAAAGTAGTCATTATGATAGGAAGATCATTTCCCCAGGAACCAAAATTGTTCATTTCGGGGGTTGGGGGTGAAGCTTTATTTAGGCTTATACTTAGAGCAGGAGGTAGTTTTGCTCTATATTGTGAAGGTTTTTAATATACTTTTAAAATTGATTTCAGTTCTTATACGTTTTGTGATCATGCTGGCTTTAAATATATGGGTAACAGTGACAGTACTTCGCTACCGGAAAACCGCCATGAAGGCTGAATGATGGACACATTATTCGTTTACACTGTGGATTCCGAGTAACTGAACCAAAGGAAAAAGAAGCTCTTTGCTAAATTACGGTCTTTTATAAATTTAGTAAATCCGTTTAGACTCTTTGAAGCTAAAGGCTTTTAGACTTGAAAGAGCCATTTAAGTACTTGTTTAAAAATCCCGATTTCCCTCCTCCTTCCTCACTTCATTAGGTTATGGTAGCGCCCAGCCATCCGCAGTGTTGAGAAGGCCCGTGACTGTTGGAAGTCATCCAGGAAGCCCATTTCAAGGCCATTTTGACTCTTACTCTTGAAGCCGTGATTAAGTTCTCTACAAAGAACTTAACTACATCGATGTTTTTGGCTTTCAGAATCTTTTAGGAAATAAATCCCCTCCATGACAAAAATGAACATGAATGGAGTGGCATTTTTTCTAAATCAGAGTTGGACACCCATAATAAACGACTAGGGTTCACTTACTGGGACTGATGTTTAATTTTAACATAGATACAACAGGATGGCCTTGTTTTATATATTACCATATTACACTGCATGCGCTCTAGCAAGGATACCAAGGCAGGCATAAAGGTAACTGGCTTGAGTTTGTATACCAAAATAGTCCTTCAACTTCGCACTGTGCCTTAAGTAATTCCTAACAAAAGGTATTCCTGTAATTCCTAACAAAAGTAAAAAGTAATTCCTAACAAAAGGATTCGCTGTAATCTCTACTGAGGAAATCCCAATAAGCTTTCTGATTCAAGTACAATGCTGCCTTTTTTTTTTTTTTTTTTTTTTTTGAGATAGGGTCTTGTTTTTGTCGTCCAGGTTGGAATGCAGTGGTGTGATCTCGGCTCACTACAGCCCGCGCCTCCTGGGTTCAAGCGATTCTCCTGCCTCAGCCTCCTGAGTAGCTGGGATTACAGGTACCTGTCACCACGCCCAGCTAATTTTTGTATTTTTAGTAGAGATGAGGTTTCAACATGTTGGTTAGACTGGTCTTGAACTCCTGACCTCGTGATCTGCCTGCCTTGACCTCCCAAAGTGCTGGGATTACAGGCGTGAGCCACTGTTCTCAGCCTAATGCTGCCATTTTTTAAAGGGCCACAACTATATAATTACCACTGTTGGAATTTGGTAAAAATAAGTTTTGTCTATTGAAAACATATACAGTAAAGGGTGTTGTTAGGTAGGTTCTGCCCAATTCTTATGGATTTTACTAACATTATGGTATTTTTTTACTCTAAACATAAGATTATTATATACTGTATTTTCTTCTAAATTCTCTAATGTTTAAAAACTCACTTTCCCCCTTTAATTGAAGACATTGTTTTGTCATATGCAGTAATGATGTTTACCAGAAACTGTTTCCTATGCAAAATAAATTTTCGTATTTTGAATTCTGCTGAGTCTTAAAACTGTCAATCTTCAACATGACTATTTTATCTAAGCTGTAGTTTTAAAATGAACTGGTTAATCCTTTTAGAACTACTGCTTGGGACCAACAGGAAGAGAAACATGGTATCTGAAAACAAAATTATTCATTCTATAGTTAAAATTACAGATGTCTTATTTTTAAACATCCAAGTTAATCTTTTTTTATTTGCAGTTATCATCTGACCGTTAGCATCAATACAAATTATGATTTTTTAATTCCAACACGTTTTATTTAGCTAACATTAGTACTTCGTCATTGCTTAAAAAAACTAAAAGCAGACTTAGGTGACGGGGTCTGTTTTTCTCCCTTTGTAAGGTAACAAACACTCGAGTCACTTCAGACATTTTACACACATTATCATTCTTAATCTGGTGGTGATCCTGTAAGAAAGACACAATCTCCATTTTACAGATAAAAACACTGAGGCTTGGAATGAATAACCTGCCTAAGATCACGTAGCAAAAAAAAAAGTGCTCTAGAAAAGGTTCCACTGATTGCCAAACGCTTTCTAGAAAACCACCTATCAGCACACTATTTCCTGACAAAACAGATAGCCTTCCTCATTTCCCCGTCCTCACCAATTCAGATGAGCTTGTTATGTCTGTGTGCCTCTTAAAACACCCAAATCAAATCAGAGACAGGCTCCTGGCAGTTTGGCCTTTCTCCATGAATTAAACGATTGGGTAGAAGAACCACAAGTCTACAGCCTTAGTTGTAAGACTTATTTACTATCCTCATCCCATCGTTTATACCCATCTTATAGGGAAAGCAAATGTTTTAGGTAAACTTTATAAGGTTGCTGTTATTCCAGGACTGCATTTCATAGGAAAAGTATGAAAATGCTTACGTCTCCATTTCTTTTATTTTATAAAAAGCAAGCATAAAATACAATCACATTACAAAGATGCAATAAAATTTTTTAAAAAGGGGTGCAATTTTTGTTCAAAGGGGATAGCTGATCAAATGGTTATGACTTCCTAAACCATGCAGTTCATGACTTATTACAATTCCAAACAAAATTCATTATTACGGGGATGGGAATCAGGGAGAGGCCCCCCAAGCATAACACCCAGCACTGTCACATAGTGCTTATATTCAAAGTGCTTACAAATGGTGTCTTCACAACATAGGGAAGCTGAAGCCTTATTCCAGGGAAGGAGAGGTGAGTCAGCAGCAGTGCCAATGCAGACTGAGAAACTCGATACTGACTTGCTCAAATCAGACTTTAGACACGATTTAGAGCATGTTTCAGTAAGGTTAATACAGTGTCTGAGTTTCTCTACTTTATCACCAGAATCCCGGAAGAGAAGAACAGCAGCAACGTAACTTCTTAAACTGTGGTGTGGCCACCTAGAGTATTTCTAAGATCTATAGATAAATGGATGCAAAACGGATACTTGAGAGAGCCAGATTCATGTTAACTCTAACACGGGTTAGTTTTAAAAGCACTTACCTTTATTTTGGCTTTACTGGTGTGCTTATTCATTAGTTAGCTAGAACATTTTAAAACTTTCATATAGATTTTAAAAACTTGTTTCTAGAGAACATGGTTTATTTAAATTAATACTTTAAAAACATTATACATTAATTTCAATAGTAATACCGGCACCAGTTTCCCTTTCACTTCTGTCTCGTTATCCCCACGAGACAAAAGCACAAAATACAACTAAGAAAATCCCAGTATTCATGATTTCTTAGTTCCTCATAGGAAGTATTTATGGCTCTAGGAGAAGTCAGGTATGAAGAAACAAGCAAATTTTGGTCTTACAAATCTTGGAAGCTTTAGGGCCTCAAGAAAAAAGAGAAACGAACACAAAATCAGGTTGTTTCGTATTTAATGAGTGTTGGAAAGAAGACACGTTGATAGGTGCATGCATTCATGTATGTACATGAAAGCGGTAATGCGGTAAAAAGCGAATTCTTACCCAAGGTCAGAATGTTTTATTAAGCGCATTTCCATTAGTTGGACAAACAACCTTATAAACCCTTATGTTGAACCATATAATGTGAAGAATCTCCATGGGAGAGATTTTTTTTTCACCCTTTGGAATTATCTTTTTCACCAAGACCTTCACATGAATCTTCCTTGTACAGTTGGTCACACCATGATTCCCCATATTCTCTAATATATACAGCATCCCAAATTTAACTTTTGCCTTTTTTATTCAAATATTTCAGTTACTCATGTAAACTTGAAATTTCACCTTAATAAAGTTTATTAAAAATATATATATATATATACTCTCCAATTCAGAATAGTAGAGCCTTCCATAATGTAACAAAATCTTTATATAAAATATTAATTCAGTCTCCTTTTAACAACTCTAATGAATGCAAATATTTATTCTATATAAATTTTATATATTTTTCATTTTTTAATCTTACTTAAAAAAAAAAAAAGCTGTCCCCCAAAGCCAGAGCTGCAGAATACAGCTGCAAGGGAGGCGGCATGCGCATCCAGTCTGAGCACAGACAGCATCAGAGCGCAGACTGGAGAACTCAAGAACAGAAGCAGTTTCAGGGTATCAGTAGGCCAGCGGCTGCTCTTCAGTTTCCACAACAGCATCGATCATGGGGATCTAACTCTTCAAACATCTCTAACTGACCTCAGAGAGAATCAATGAAAAATGTCTACTTCCTTCATTGAAATATTAGATTATTATTATTTTCTGAGACAGAGGCTCACTCAGGCTGGAGTGCAGTGGTGTGATCTTGGCTCATTCCAACTACCATCTCCCAGGTTCAAGTGATTCTCTTGTCTCAGCCTCCCAAATAGCTGGGATTACAGGCACCAGCCATCATGCCCAGCTGATTTTTGCATTTTAGCAGAGACAGGGTTTCACCCTGTTGGCCAGGCTGGTCTTGAACTCCTGACCTCAGGTGATCTGCCCGCCTCAGCCTCCCAAAGTGCTGGGATTATAGGTGTGAGCCACCGCACCTGGACAGACAATGTATTTCAATATCATACCAAACTCTGTGTGTATTTATATAAAGAAAGACTGATAAAAGACTTCATAATTTTAAAAAAAAAAAACAAAACCTTGATGCTCACCATTGCTGCATACTGTGTTGCATTATAAAACACACACTTATCTGGGATCACGAGAATATAGCAAGAATGGTCCTGCATAAACGAACTGTGACAGCATTTTAAAAATAAAAATCAAATCAAGGGCCTTTGAGGCCACTTCTTCCCAGTTACCAGTTTTCTTAACCCAGTGCTAAAATACTGCCATACACAGTTGTATGTCTGAGGATCATATCATCATATTTAAAATGTATCTATAATATGTCTTAGTTTTCTTTATATTTGGAAAAATGTTTGAATCTTAAGTGTGAAAATGTAATCACAAATGTCTTTACTAGGAATAAAAACACATCTAGGGTAGCCAGCAAATTTAAAGCAAAGAAAATATTTTGTAGTCACAGACTAATACTGAAGTCTGTAAAAACGGTTGAATGAATAATAGACGTCAAGGATATATTAGTTTCAACACCATCCATTAGTTTCTATAACCAATAATACTTTAAAAAATTTGTTAATCAAAATAGGCTGACATTGATATAACTATGTGTAAA